CTAGATTCACTGGAGTGTCATTTACAGTAGCCAAGACCTGGAAACAGCCCAAGTGCCCACCAGTANATGGAAACAGCCCAATGCCCACCAGTAGATGAGTGCATAAAAAAACTGTGGCATTTTTACACCACGGAGTACTACTCAGCTGTAAAGAAGGAAATGCTGCCCTGGCAGGGTGGCTCAGGTGGTTAGAGCATCGTCCTATACACCAAAAGGTTTAGAGTTCATTTGACTCCTGGTCATGTGATTACATACCTAGGTTGCAGGTTTGATTCCTGGTCAGGGCGAGTATGGAAGGCAACTGATAGATGCTTCTCTCTCACATTGATGTTTCTCTCTCTCCCCCTTTCTCTTTAAAAATCAATGAAAAACATATCCTCAGTGAGGATTGATTAAAAAAAATAAATAAGGAAATNTCTCTCTCCCCCTTCCTCTTTAAAAATCAATGAAAAACATATCCTCAGTGAGGATTGATTAAAAAAAATAAATAAGGAAATCTTATCCTTTGCAACAGCATGGATGGATCTGGAAAGCATTATGCTAAGTGAAACAAGCCAGTCAGAGAAAGACAAGTACCAAATGATCTCACTTACATGTAGAATCTAATGAACAAAGTAAACTAACAAAATAATAAGAAAAATAAGTTTTCTCAATCTCCCTCAAGATATTTTTAACAAATTATAGTATGTGTGTCGTGTGTGTGTGTGTGTGTGTGTGTGTGTGAGAACCAGGCTGGTGATTCTAGATTCCTGCTAAGAAAGAGAAGAAATATAAAACTCAATTATACTTGTACATAATTTAAAATGAANTCCTGCTAAGAAAGAGAAGAAATACAAAACTCAATTATACTTGTACATAATTTAAAATGAAGCTTAAAAAAATTTCATTTGAAAGAATAAAGGCAACATTTTCTTAAACTTGACAATTAACTTTGAAATTAATAGGGTAAGCTAGAATACTTAATTTGGTTATTTTCCACAGTGTACAAATATTTCATAGCACCAGATATATTAGAGCAAACAACAACAAAAAACAATAACAGAGAACTCGTTTTCCCATTGCTATTATTTCCTTTAGCTGTGGCTTCCTTCTACTTGGTAGGAAAAGCACAGTTTTCTTTTTGAGTCTGTATCATTTCTATTTTTTAGATTGCAGAGTTTTTACAGAAGCCATCAGTGAGATAAATATTTTAACTATATCTTTTACTTGGTATTTATACTAGTTACATAGCAATTTGTTCACTCAGTTGTGCGGTATTTATCAATTTGATAGATATACTTATCAAAATAATACTCTCTACAGTACTTGCTTCATTCCAGGGACATAAGTCATCCATATGCGGCTGGTCCTATATCATCAACAAAGGATAAGTTTGTGAAAAACTAGGTCTTCCTAGAGAAAGCTATTCCCTTTTCCTGTGTAGAGTTCCTAACCCTGAAACTAAATAGCTGTCCTGAGAAATGATCCACCACTTCATTCAATTCAAAACAAGTCTCTAGGTGTCCATAACGCAGGCAGCCCCATCCATCACAGCCCTTCTTTATGATCCATCTTTTCTACCGTGCGTTTAGCTCCTTTTCTTTCACTTCATCTTCTCAGTTTATACTTCTTTTTCTTTTGTGTTTCTTGTGTTGTCACTTCACTTTTTTTCTTCTTTATTTTGTCTACAGTTCAGAAGAGACATTTAAATTTACAAGCACACACATCTTCTCAGTTGCCTTTTCCCTATTCTCTCATTTAAATCCCACCTCTAGGGGGCCCTCTTGGGGGCACACAGACACATGCACACTCCTTATTTAGATAAGGCATTAGATATTTTGAAGGTAAATGCTTCTGCAAAAAATATATCTCGACATTTAATTTTTTTTAATTTCTTTTTTTTTGGTTTATTGTAATGCCCACTCCTGGAACAACTTTGGAAATAGCCAATAACATTATTTTCTACAATTCTAATAAGTTACACTAAGTTACACTTGAAGAAAAAAAATCAGCAGGAGTTTGCCAAAGATCAGACATAATACAAAGTAGAAATTATCTAGAATCAGAAGTTACCAAGCATAATTTGTCTCTCATTTTTCTGCCTGATCTAACAATCAACTCTTCAAAAACTGACACCAAGTAAAAGGAAATTTAGAGTCTATAATGACAGAGGGGTATAATCTAAACCAAATATACTGGCTGTAAATAATGGGCCTTTGCAATGCCCTGGAAACAGTTTTACCTGCATATTTATACTGTCTTCAATGATTCCCTGTATGAGTGACAGCTGCAGCGTGGGGGAACCATCCGTGTTCACAATATAAGAAACGATCTCTGCTAAATTTGCCATCACTTGCACATGAGATACTATTTTAATCACAGTATAGAGTAGCATAGATAATGTATTATATCCTAGAAGACTGCTGTATAGGTTATCTTCCATTCAAGGTCAAAGTTTCAATTCTCCATTTGCATTGTAGTTTGAAATCAATACTTTATTTATTTAAAAAAAATCCCCTCTCTGCCATACTGCTGATACAACCTTCCCCTTTTCACTTTCATCCATTTGATGAACAATGCAAGGCAACCATTCTATGGAAAAAATAATTCGTGAAAACAATGAAGAAACAAAGCCAGGCATCCCCCAAACAGATGATCTTATTAACATTTATGACCAAACTACAGGCTGACTTTACCTAAAGTATACTCTCAGGAATCATTCAATGATGACTGAATTTGTTGTGAGCAATATAAGAAAGCAAAACAGTCATCAACTTAAAATTTAGCAAAACTAGTACTGGTAGAGCTGAATAATTTGACTAGGCCAATCTCTGGAGGGAAAAACAAGTAAAAAAGTTACTCCACAAATAAGTACCAGGTCTTGATCATTTCACAGAAGAATGAAACTTAACTTTTAAATCTAGATGATATCTAAACTGTTTAAATAATTCTGTAGCATAGAAAATAGAGAAGAAACTCCAGGTTATTTTTTGAAGGAATTATAATGTTGATACCAATACCTGATGAAATTGCACATACACATAAAAATATTACAGAATCCTTAATAAATATCAATGCAAACATTTTAAATTAATTTTAGATAAAATAATCCAACAGCCTATTACAAAATAAAATACATCATGTCCAAATGTGGTTCCTTTCAGAGATGCAAGGATGATTTCATATTAGTAAACTCCATTTATAAAACTTACCATAAAAACAGACAAGTGCACTCATTTCTACAGATGCTGAAAGGCAATTTACTAATTTCAGCACCCATTCTTAATAAATATAAGTGAGTGGAAACTTTCTCAAAATTATAAAACACATACAATTCATCCCATATGCCATCATTTCAATTAATGGTGAACATATGACGTGGACAAGAAAATCAGAAATAAGGCATGATGCTCACCAACATCTTTTTAATGATACGTTGGGGCTAATAGTAAAATTAGACAAGAAAAAACTATTATAGGTATAAGAATTGGAAAGGAAAATGTAAAGCAATCTCTATTTGATATCATAAAATACTTGAAAAAACTCACGAGAGTCAATGAATAGGCCACTGCAAACTAAGACATTTCACTAAGCGAGTAGAATATTATATGAACCTACTAAATCCATAGACGTAAAAATAGGAAACAGAATAATAGCAACAACAAAGAAATTAAATGTCAAGTAGCACAAAAAACAGTGAAGAAGTTTTAAAAACATGCCTAAAAACACAAAGATTAGACTTAAAAACTAAATATGTAAAATATATAATTTTGCATAGAATGACTCAACAGCACAAAGTTTTCAATTTCCTTCCAATTAATTTATAAATACCGAAGGGATTTTTTTCTATCCAGATGAGTTGTTTCTAAAGTTCATCTAAAATGTTAAACAAGAAATAACTCTAAACCCCTGAAAATGAATATCAAAAAGAGCATTTTCTATCAGGTGTTAAGTCTATATTAAAAACGTGAATTCTGAAGGATAAATAGAACAGAATCAAGGTGAGAAACTGACTAAAGTACACAGGAAGTTTAGCATGTGATAAAGGTGGCATCTCAAATTCCTGGTGAAAAGATAGACTTTCTAATCAATAAAAAGGTGATAGCCATTGATAAAATGATAAATTAAATTGATACCTTGCATTATAAACCAAGCTAAACTTAAATGCACTGGAGATCTTAAAATATAAAACCATAGAAGTTCCTAGATAAAAATGAATTTACTTACAACCTTGGAATGGTTAAAGCTTTTCTAATATAGCTCAAGAATTCAGAATTCACAAGGAAAAAGGTTGATAAATTTAGCCATATTACAAAAAATGCCTCTGCATGACAAAAATCAGGAAAAAAGATAAAAAACAAATTATTTGCTGGAGAAGTGATTTGTAACTTATTCTAGAATTTTAAAGAAGAGAAAAAGCAAAAAAAAGTATACAAAAAATGGACAGTTGACAGAAAAACATGTCTATATGTAGTGCTTAAATATATGAACCTCACTCATAATAATGGAAGGTTGATTCACTATTAGTATTGCTTTGGGGGAAAGGTCTAATATATTGTTTGTAACAGTGTAAATGGTTCAAACCATAAGGAGGGGAGTCTGATAGCATGTATCTAAAAAGATTACATATGCATGTACATTTTGACCCAAGAATCCCACTTATAAAACCTACCCTGAAGATACTTTTATCCAAAAATACACATATACATATATGAAAACATATGTGCATAATTCATTCTGGCGTTATTTGTAATAGCCAAAGTTGGGAAACACCCTAAATGTCTATCAATAGGGGACTGGTTGAATTTACTATGGTATATGGAAGTCAAATGGCTTTAAAAGCAACTGATTGATTCCATAAGGCAACAAAGTGTAACTTCATCTTTGGCTTTATTTATGGAAAGTTATTTTATTTAAAATGTAAAAATATTTTGAGAATTGAAATATGTAAATGAAGAGTGTATTAAAATGATCAAAGAGCAGAATATCAAGAACATTATACACATGTTACTTTTACTTACGGTTGATGGTTTTGACTGGTAATATTGGGTTTACCCTCTCTGGGGAAGCAGCATTTTCCTCATCTGTCACATATTCAAAATTAATGATGAACATCATAGCCACACCCTCTTGGTTTTTCACTGGAATTATGTGAGTGTTGCAAATGAAAGTGGACCCTGAGAAATGAAAGAGGAGTGCTGCGTTAAAAATATGCCAACATTTAGAAGTATCAGTAATATTAAACTTTTAAAGAAACCCTATAGAATTTTCTCTTAAATGATATTTAAAATTAAATTAAAAATACTTTAATTTTTTTCTCATTGTAGATGCTTTTATCGCAATAAATAATACAGTTACATGTGAAGCCTCCACATCATGAATTTGCATACCCTGAATTATTCTTCTTTCCCAGGGTAGCCACCACACTAATTTCACATACATTATTCCCCTCCAATTTTCACTATAATTAAATACTAATTATCATTTCATAAACAACTGTATTCTTTTCTATTTTAAAAGATTATATAAATGGAACCATACAGTACATGTCATTTACAATTGGCATTTTTTCAATTATAGTTGATATTCAATATTATTTTATATTAGTTTCAGGTGTACAGCATAGAGGTTAGACATTTACATAATTTACAAAGTGACCCCCCATAAGTCTAGAACCCACCTGGCACCATACATACTTATTATAATATTATTGACTGTATGCCGTGTGCTGTACTTTACACCCCCTTCATTATTTTGCAACTACCAATTTGTACTTCTTGAAAAAATACTTTGATTTTTAATTTCATATTTTATTGCATGTATATTTACTGAAAATATGCACAAAATGTGCCATAAAGTATTCACCAGCAAATTCAGGTGCTAGATTATGGAATAACAGAACATCAATTCTCATTTTTCACTCCCACCACTGTAATAATTAGTATGTGAAAAAAGTCATATTCTCTAACTTTCTAGGAAAAAACTCTTAGCCTTTCCTTACATACTTTGCTTAAATCTGAATCTATATAAAATATATGTGTATAAACAATAAAGATAACTCATTTTGTGTTATTTTGATTTCAGCCTTAAGGGAATGATTTCCTTTTTCTCATTTACTTTCTTGGGCATAAACTAGTAAATTACTGACTTTGTCTCACATATGTTCCAACAATTGTTTTCTTTTTTTTTGTGTGCAAAATTCCCAAAGCCCAAATTATAATAATTTTATTTGGTTTGTAATCTGTCAGCAAAAAAGAACAAAAGTTTGTCTATATTATTGTGTTAATTTGATCTCTTCAACCAAAATGATGAAATTCTTTTATACACACAACTATAAGGTTATTAGATATATTTTATTAGAATCATCCAGAAATTATCAAAGGGACGACTCAGGTTACAATCAACTACCACTGGCCATCCTTGAACAGAAAACCCAAGATCCAGGATTTAGAGACTATAGTCAAGAAATTAACTTATTTTAAATCAATTGACTTCCGATTGCCTTCTTGGGTCTGACTTTTAAAACGAAGTATAACCACAAAGCATTTTCCTTATATTTTTATCATCTGAATATTTTTATTGAGGTATAATTAAAATATGACATTATATTAGTTTCAGGTATACAACATCATGATTCAATATCTGTACACATTGTGAAATGATCACCAGCGTCTAGTCAGCATCCATCACCAAACAGTTAAATATTTTTCTTTCTGTTCCTGTTCTTTAGGATCTACTCTCTTAGTAACCGTTTAAATGTGCAATACAGTATTATTATTAACTATATAGTTACCATGCTGTATATTACATCCATTACTTATTTATTTTGTAGCTGGAAGTTTGTAACTTCTGACACCCTTTACTCATTTTGTCCACCCCTCCTATTCCCTTCCCCAGCAACCATCAATCTGTCCTTTGTCTATGAACTTTTGTTGTTATTGTTTGTTTGCTGGAGTCTACATGTAAGTGAGATCATATGGTATTTGTCTTTGTCTGTCTGACTTATTTCACTTAGCATAATGCCCTCAAGGTCTCGAATAATTTTTTTTAGTCATGGTGACAGAAATCTCACAAGTTAGGGATTTGTTTGGGCTCAAAAGTATTGTATGTTTGAACAAAAACCTCAGAAAGAGTCCTCATTCAAGTAATAGTGTATATTTTGATTGCTTTCATTTTTCCACATTGTTAACTAAATTTATTGGGGTGACGTTGGTTAATACATTTATGTAGGTTTCAAGGGTACAATTCTATAATATATTTGTATATTGCATTGTGCATTTACCACCAAAAGTCAAATTTTTTCTGTCACCGTATATTTGACCCCCTTTACCTTTTATTACCCCCACAACTCCTTTCTCTGGAAACCACCATACTCTTCTCTGTGTCTACGAATTTTTGTTTGTCTTTTTTTTTCATCATTTGCTTTCAGTTTTATATCCCACATGAGTGAAATCATATGGTTCTTGACTTTTTCTGTTTGACTTACTTATTTCCCTTAGCATGATAGTCTCAAGACCCATCCATGTTATTACAAATGTCAGTTTCTTGCCACCCCCTCTACTCCCCACCCATCCTTTACTTTTTTCTGCATTACTCCAGGCCCCAAAACAGCTGACTTCTTTGGCTTTCTTGACTCTGGCTCTCTTGGCCTCTGGGCTCTGGATGTATTTGGTTAATGGGAGGCACTGGCAAGATATAGGAGGGTGGGAAGGTGAAACAGGTGGTACCCCCAACCTTGCCATGGCCACAGGTTCTGGAGGACCGCCCCTTCCAAGACTGGTAATGGTTCCTGGCCAATGCTAGGCCCTGGCTGCCTAGAAGTTCCGCGGTGGCTCTTGTAACCCTTTTCACACCTCTGCAAATGTCCTAAACTTGCTTCTCTTTAATGCCCCTGGTGTCCTGCCAAGACCCCACTCATATACCTCTCCCCTGAGCTTCCTACACTGAGGGTGGGCCCTTTCCTGAGAAGTCAGGAAACCTGATAGAAGTCACTAAACCCCCAGAGACAATGTTCAGCCCAATTGCTTTTTTAAAAAAATTATTTTTATTATTTTAAGTATTACAGATGACCCCCCTTTCCCCCCATTGATCCCCTCCACCCTGCATCCACCCCACCCCTAGGCTTTCCCCATACCAATGTCTGTGTCCATAGGTTATGCATAAAAGCATATAAGTTCTTTGATGAATCTCTCCCCACCCACTCCCCCTCCCCTGCCTTCCCTCTGAGATCCTTCAGTCTGTTCCATGCTTCTATGTCTCTGGATCTATTTTGTTCACCAGTTTGTTTTGCTGATTGTATTCCACATATGAGTAAGATCAAGTGGTACTTGTCTTCCTCTGACTGGCACATTTCACTTAGCATAATACTCTCCAGTTCCCTCCGTGCTGAGCCAAAGGATAAAAGATCCTTCTTCTTTACAGCTGCGGAGTATTCCATGGTGTAAATGTGCCACAGCTTTTTTATCCACTCATCTACTGATGGGCACTTGGGCTGTTTCCAGATCTTAGCTATTGTAAACTGGGCTGCTGTGAACATAGAGGTGCATAAGTTCTTTCTGATTAGTGTTTCAGGATTCTTAGGATATATTCCTAGAAGTGGGATCACNTAATGGCAGTTTATTTTTTCTTTTTAAACAACTAGTTGAGATGGCTTTGACTCTTGAGGATAGTGATGTTTCAACTTAGAGTCAGGAGCAGGTTGGGAGCAAGGTGGGATGGGCATAAACTTCAGGGGGAGATGCAGGAAAATGAAAGGATGCCATGAGGCTGGAGACATGGGCAAAGGCAAATAGAAAGATGTAGTTGGGGGCCCAACATTCAGGAAGGCCAGTGGATGCTAGTATTCCAAAACTGTGCCCCATCTATGGTTTGACTGTTAAAAACAAAATGAGTATGAGAAAATTCTTTCCTTTCTCTTCACTTCTGTAACATGGTGTCTGCTGCCAGAGCTGAGAACAAAGGCTACTATTGCTATAGCTTGAGACATCACAGGTTGAGGGTGGGCCTGGAGATCTGATTATTATTTATGAAATTATTTATATGGGTGAACATATTCTAATTTCCAAGGAACTCATTTACAATAACACTTTTAGAACACAGACTTTGCAAGTTGGAGAAGCATATGTGCTAGTTATGATTCACATTTTGAAATGTGGATAGCCTCCCAAATTTGTAACGTAGAAGAAGACCTTATTTATAATTAATTTCATACTTTCCACAAATGTGTCCATGGTTTTACTGATGTGGCAAAGTGTGTTTTAAGAATGACAGGCTGCACCTTCATAGTCTTCTACTACATCTTTAATTTATTTAATAAAATAGTGAGCTAGAACACTTGTCACAGTTTCCATGGTAACAAGCAGGATAACTTTAGTAAACAGAGAATAAGCAATTTAAGACTGTTCCATTAGAACTAAAAATAGAAGTGCTTCAGGGCAGGCATCACACTACAAATTGGTTAAACAGAGAGTCTGTGGAGATGCTAGAAATAGTCATTATGTATTTTGCTAATGAACCAAAATACATATTGATTTTAACACTTAAAATACACGTCTTGGGTCATTAAGAGTATACTTGTGAATTTGCAGATTTGTTACTTAGTAGTTTAAAATTTCAACATTTGAGGTACACTGCTGACTGTACAGGAAAACATAAAGTGCAGATTTGTGATAAATCAATAGATAAAAGATATGAAGATAGAGATCTAACAGGTTTATAATAGAGCAGAGTANTACTGCTGACTGACTGTACAGGAAAACATAAAGTGCAGATTTGTGATAAATCAATAGATNCACTGCTGACTGTACAGGAAAACATAAAGTGCAGATTTGTGATAAATCAATAGATAAAAGATATGAAGATAGAGATCTAACAGGTTTATAATAGAGCAGAGTAATTTTGCTTCTGGTAGCTAAGGGGCAAAAATCACTTTTTCAAAACTAATGCTTATAAATTTATTGTCTGATGCTAACAAATAATAAAAATACAGTGCTTTATATAAAAAGTTCATCTATATGCATTGGCCCCAAAGCATACTGAATAAGTATAATTAATCTGAGATTTATTGCCCGCTATCATTGTTTCCTGCATGTTTCTATTAAGCAACATATCTCCTCTAAAATCCATTGAAGACTCTCATTTCTCTTTTAGTGTTTGGATTTAATGTCTCCATCAATCT